AAGGAAGGAAGGAAGGAAGGAAGGAAGGAAGGAAGGAAGGAAGGAAGGAAGGAAGGAAGGAAGGAAGGAAGGAAGGAAGGAAGGAAGGCGTCACCTGATGGATTTTGGACTGGGCTCAGGGCAATGGGTGGAAAGCAGTTCCCAGTGCCCTTGGGTAGTTTTACTTTCGCCTCCTCCCTGCACTGCTTTGGCTGCCTTCAGCCCCACACCCCTTTTCTTTCTCCCCAGCACCTGGACATTCTCAGTGCATTCAGCTCCCTCTCGCCTGCCTGGGGCTGGAGAAAAGGACCAAGCAGAGCCCACCAAGGGCTGCCAGCTGGCAGGAGATGGCAGGGAGGGATGATGGAACGTTCCCTGTGACTGGGAGGGGAGTGTGTGGTGCAGAAACTGCCCCAGGTGGCAGAATCCCTCCAGCACCATGGCAGATGGATAAAGGCTCTTACACTGGGTGAATAACCTCATCCCATGGCTCAGGCTGCAGCAATTTCCTCTGGACTGCTGGAGGCTTCAATGCTCTTAATCTGTGTCATAAAAATTGGACATGAAGAGCAATTCTTACCCTCAGCACCCCAAGCAGTATCATGAGGGATTCATTTCCAGTGGACCAGCCCAGGAATGGTGGGTGCTGGGTGGGCAGGGGCAGAGGAGCTGCTGGAAGATTGGAGGGGATAGGTATGGATGGAAATGGATTCCAGGTAGGGAAGTTTAGGTGGAGTAGTCCACCCTGCAGCAAACCCTGGCCTGGAGAGATGCCCATGCCTGTGACAGAAGCAAAGGATGGAGAGACCCAGGGGCAAAACCCCGGTGGGCAAATCCCAGTGTTGGTCCCGGCTACGTGGGAGCCTATCTGGCGGCTAGTCCAAGAAGGAACGGGCTGGCCAAGAGCTGAGTCATCCCTCCAGCGCGGAGCAGATCCCCCAGGGCCCCTCGTTTGCTGTTAAAAGGCAGTAGCAAGAGCAAGAGGCTGCGAAATGGCTCCGCCGAGAGCTCGGCTTCTTAGGCAGCCCCGGCCTCCGAGGAAGCGGGGATGCTCCGCTCGGAGCATGAAACCCGCAGACTTCTGGAGCCTGTGGCTTGTTTCTCAACGGCTCCTTGGCCGTGTTTCTCCTCGGTTTCGGAGATAAAGGCGGCGAGGGTGACCCCGCGGAGCGGGAGCCGCGGTGCTGGCCGCCCTCCAGCCAGCCCGGCCGGAGGAAGCAGCGGCCCCGCTCTGTGCCGCCGCCAAAGCAAATAGAAATGGGGCGTAAAACAATGCTGGGCGCGAACAGGGGGGGACTCGCCGCCGGCGTCGCCGCTGCCGACGGGCTCCTCGTCTCCAGGAGAGTTTCCACTGGCATCTCTGCCTCCTCTGGACCCTGCCCACACAAAACCCTCCTGTCGGGCAGCCTGAGACTTCATCCAGGGCATCCTGCACACCTCAGCTGTGTGCAAGGATTTGCTGGGTGCCGAGAGAAGCAGGAGGGATGAAGGATGAGGAAGAGGAGTTGCCCAGCTTTCAGCAGCCCTCCTGCTTACCGTGGGCTTGCTTAGTCATCCATCCCTTTCCCTAGCTGGTAGGCTGAGCCACTGCTGAAAATATCCTGGAATTCTCCCAAGCAGCACAGAAGGCAAGAAAATGAGGAACACATGAAGGAAGGGAAGACGGGAAGGGATGGGATGGGAAGGAAAGAGCAGCAGGGCTGGGAGCGGGCGGTTTTGGCCACCCACCTCTCTGCTGGGGCCAGAGCAGAGACACCCATCAGAGCCAACCCGGCAGTGCCTTTGGAGAGGGGCTACACCTTTGGTGGGTGCGGGAGTGATGCTGATGGCCGGCGCTGGTGTCTGTGCCCAACAGTGGCCTCGGCAGGGTGGGGGACACTGCCCTTCCCACGGGTGCTTTCGTGGGGGGGCAAGCTCATAGGAAATTGCTCACCCTGAGAAAATGCATTCCCGGCAGCTCCACATCCTTTCGGTCTTAGGGAAGGGCTGGTGCCCTGACCTTTGTCCGGCAAGAGAAGCCCAGCGGCACTGGGCTGCTCGCCGCGGGGCTCGAGCCAGGCTTTTAGCACATTGCTTTTAGCACTTCTGTGCTCCCGAGGCGTGAGGGCTCCTCGCTGTGTCCGTGTCTGTGTCCGGCTTGGCAGGAGCTGCACAGCTTCTGTCTGCTGCTGCCATCTCGTGTTGCTCCATACATTAGTTCCCCACCAGGGCTGCTCACTGGCCTCGCTGTGAGGTCGGGCTGGGTTGGCATCTCCCCGCTGTCCCCGGGTTTATGCCCTGCCCGCTCGGGGCTGAGCGTGCCGGGATTCGGGGCGTGGGGCTGGGGGACACACGCTGGCCTCTTGCCTGCCACTGCCTCTTAGAGCCGGGGGCCGAAGTCATGTGAGCTGCAACCGGAGAACTGCTCGGAGAAATTCCTTTCCCATATGGTCAGCGCGGTGGGTACGCAGAACCCAGCCGAAATACGGGGTGGCATGGTGGAAACGTCCTGAGCGTCACTGGGTGTCCCCTGGGTTTTCCCATCTGTCCCAGCATCTTTGTGATGGCTGTACTGGGTGATGGCTGTGCTGGGTCCCCATTGCCCCCGGACCGTGCACCCCAGCCCCGGTGCATCTCTCCTACCTTCTCCCACCTGACAGGGAAAGAGTTGTGATGCCGAGGGATACCTGGAAGAAGGGCTGGCAGTCCTGGGCGGGGAGGACTGATACCCTATATTCCCACTGAGGGTCCTAATCCTCCTCTTCCCTCTGCCCAGGTCTCTCCCGCAGCGCCAGCCTCTCGGAGAAGGAGCTGAAGGAGGCGAAAGCGCGCAGCCAGAGGATCGCGGCTCAGCTCACCACGGCGCCCGGCCCCAGCTCCAAGGGTGTCCTGCTGTTCCACCGGCGCAGGCAGCGCGTTGAGGGGCTCACGGGGGCCGGGCATGGCGGGGGGCTGCCCCTGAGCCCCGCGCCCCAGCCTCGCCAGGGGTCCATGGAAGAGAGCCAGGGACAGGGCATGCAGCCGGAGCCTGACCAGCCAGGCAATCCAGGAGAAGGGATGCTGGCAAACGCCTCCCCGTGCCAGGAGCTTCCTGCTGAAGCCCAGCAGGTCCCACTCAGCGTTTACCTGAAGGAGAACATGGCATCGACCGCCACTAACGGCATCGGCGTGCAGGAGCAGGCAGCCAGGGGGATGGAGAAAAGGGTGGAGGGGCTCGGAACTGCAGGAGCCCCTGCAGAGCAGAACACGGTGGCTCTTGTCCTGCCACAGAGCCCCGAGGAGGGGAAGAACGTCAAAGTGCCCAGAGCGGTGGCCGATGAGGTGCCTAGCGAGGTGCCCAGCGCACCAGCGGGGACGGCCACAGGGATGGTATCCCCAGCCGGGCAGCAGCAGAACGGGACACAGGGCAGGCAGTACTACGAGGTCCACCTCACCCTGGCCAAGCCTAAGCCTGTGAAGAACCGGACGGCCAGACCCTTCGGCACCCAGGCATCCCCCGCCAGTGCCCAGCCGACCGAGGAACCCCCTGCCCCCGAGCTGCCCCCACCACCAACCTACGCAGAGACCCTCAGCAGCCCCCCACCCCTCACCCGTGTCCGCTCCCCCCCTGCCTACTCGGTCCTGTACCCCACGCCGGAGCAGAAGATGCTGCCAGCTCCACTCCTGGGCTGCGGGGTGAGCGGACCAAACCCCTTGCCCAAAACCGGGATCCTGGAGGAGTCGGCTGCCCGGAGAGCCAGCAGAAAGTCCATGTTCACCTTCGTGGAGAAGCCGAAGCTGGGCCCCAACCCCGACCTGCTGGATCTGGTTCAGAGTGCAGACAGCAGGAAGAAGCAGAAGGAGCAGGGGGAACCGAGCACCGACGACGAGCCCTTTGCCCTAGGGGCTGAAGCTTCGAACTTTGTCCCCAACAGCGCAACCAGGGGTGTGCAGCACCTCCCACCGGCTGAGGATGCTCCGGCATGGTCCTCCTGCCTCAAGTCTCCCACCATCCAGCCCAAGAAGAAGCCACAGCCCAGCCACATCCTCACTGAAGCGAGAGGGAAGGGGGCTGAGCTCTTTGCCCGCCGACAATCCAGGATGGAGAAGTTCATCATTGAAGCCCCTTCCCAGCCTGAGCTGCTGCGGTGCCCATCACCCACCATGTCCCTGCCTCCCTCCTGGAAGTATGACAACAATGCTTACCTCTCACCCATGGTCTCCAGACGCCCCTCCAAGAGTCCTTGCAGGCCCTCCAAAACCCCTCCTGCATCGCTGTATGGCAGCAGCCTAATGGAGAACGAGGTGTCCCAGAAGGAGCTGGAGATCTCCAAGCACCAGCCTTATCAGCTCCAGTCTTCTCTCTTTATCCTCTCCCCATCCAAGGAGCCAGCACGGTCCATGCCAGAGGAGGTGCCTCCACCCAGACCCTCTCTTCCCGACTCCTACCCCTATCCCCAGCAAGCCTCCTGCCCGACCTCCCCGTTGCCTCCTTCCCCAGTTTGGCATCCCCCCGTGGTGCCCAGCGCCGGCCAGACCACTGCCAGCCTCTTCCCCAGTGCTGCCGGGGCTCTGCCCCTGACTCATGACAGCCGTGCCAGTCCTGCAGCCCCGGCTGAGGTGCTGCTGGCCTCCCCGTGCCGCTTGCTGCCCCCCCGGGCAAAGGCAGGCTTCCAGGCACCCCGGCCCTCCTACTCCACCAGGAATGCCGGCATCGAGCCGCAGGTGTGGAAACCTTCTTTTTACTACAAGTAGTGGTGGCAGAGAGAAAAACACGGGGGTGCTAGGCTGAGTCCTCCCTAACTGCTCGTGGGAGTGCCAAACGCCAAACCAACCACCAAAAAAAAGGGGGAGAAAGAAAAAAAATATAAAAAAGAAGTGTTTGTGAGGCTGCAGCGCTGGGACAGTGGGTGACAGGCGCTGCTGAGTCCCTGGTGCAACAGTAGGTGAAGAGTCCCGGGGAGGCAGCAGGAACTGGGAACAGAGCCTGCAGGATTCCCAAAGAGTCAGCAGGAGCCTGCCTGTCCCCCAGGGCTGCTCTTGCTCTTCTCTCGCCTGGAAACTGTATGGAGCATGGCACCTCTGGCTCCCTCCTTTCCTCGCCTCCAGCTTTTCCAGCTCTCAGAGCTCTGCCTGCTCCTCCACATCCTCTCTGTCCTGTGGCTCTTCTCAGCCTCCTACCAAAGCAAACCTGGAGGGGACGCTGCCTTTCTGCCTCACTGTGCTGCTCCTGACTCTTGTGTTGCTCTTTCAGGATCTGTCCTCGTTTGCTTCCTCACTGTGGAGGAAGAACTGCATCCCTCGGGAAATGGCAGAGTCCAGTGATGCTGGGCTCAGGGACACTGCGGGGTCCCTGTCCCTGCCTGTGCTCAGTGCTGGAGCTGGCGTGGGCAGTGCTGTGTGGCACAGCTGGAAGCAAGGGATGTGCTGGGATGAGGAGGGTGCCGAGGACAGGCCTGCTGGGTAATGCTCAGCCCAAGACTTGTCATCCAGATGTGCCTCTGCCCATGCCCTCTCGCCACTTTCCCCATGGTGCCAAGTTGCCTTTTGACTGTGCTTTATTTTTCCTGCATTTTTCTTTTCCCCCTCTTTCTGAATACACTCTCTGCGCTGTCACACATGGCTCTTCTCTTTCCTGCCGTCCGGGGAGCAGTGCTGGGTGATGGATCCTGGGGCAGTGCAAGGCGGGCTCCGAGCATCCCCCAGAGGGAGACGGGAGACCTTAGGAAGCTGCAGGTAGTGAGAGGTCCTGGGACATATTTTGGGCTAAGATGATTAACGACAGGCTCAGCCTGCCCCGATCTCCTTGTCGGGCGAGAGGTTGCAGGGTAAATGCATTTTGGGGACCCCTTGCAGGGTGCAATGCACGAGGAAACATTCCCAGTTCCTGTGGGGCTGTGTCAGCATGAATCTTACCGTAGCACCCCCCTGCCCCTGTACCCTGCTTTGTGCCTTCGACCCCCCGAGAGGGGGTCACTAACCCGCTCTCTGTCCCTCTCCAGGACAGGCGTTCGTCCCTCCCTGCATCGCCCACCTGGACGCCCCGGCTGGCGCGGCGCCCGGGCAGCCTGGACGGCTGGGCCAGCCCGGCCTCGGTGCCCGAGCTGGATGAGGGACCCCCCATGTCCCCTCCGTGGAGCGAGAGGTCCCTGTCCCCGCTGCGGCAGGACGCGGACCCCCGGGCCAGCCGGCAGATGCAGGCGCGGCTCGCCAGGAACATCATCAACGCTGCCCGCAGGAAGAGCTCCTCTCCCAAAGCCGTGGGGCTGGAGAGCTCCCGGCCCTTCACCCCCATCTCTGCCGGGCCCCCCAGCCTGCCCCAGTCGCCCCGCCTGGGGCCAAGAGCTCCGGCACTGCAGGCTGCCAGCAGCGTGCTGGGGAGCCTGGGCAGCCCCTCGCCCAACCACAAAAGCCCCCTCCGATCGCCCCGGGCAGGCAGCCCCCAGTTCTGTGCCTCCCCCGGGATGCCCCGAGCCGCCTGGTCAGAGGGGCGCCGGCTCCTGCTGCCATCCAGCGCGTCTTGCTGCCCCGTGCCCAGGCTGTCCCCCAGCCCCAAGAGCCCCCTGCCATCCCCCGTGGTGGGTGGGCGCTCCACAGCCAAACGCTGCACCTCCCGGTCCCCGACGGACTCGGACGTCTCCCTCGACTCCGAAGACTCGGGGACCAAGAGCCCGGGAATCCACAGCTTCAACCTCTGTCCCCGGGGCTGGACCAGCAGCCTGCGGCTGAAGACGGGGGGTCTGCCTTCGGGGGCTCCCTGCACCTCCTAGACAAGCCAGCCCCTGCCAAAAAACCCTCTCCCTCGACCCGTCAGCTCGGGTGATGCCACCCGCTCACTAACCCCCGGGGCTGAGGTCCCTAAAAAACAGTGTCCCTTCGGAGCTGCCATGGCCCCTCTATGTGCCAGAGGGGTCAGGTGATTCCCGCCCGTCTGTTGTCCCATGGCCCCGCTCTATTTTTACCATTCTAACCTTTCGGGGCAGGACTGCGTGGTCAGCAGGCAGGAGCAGGCAGAGTGGAGGAGCCTCCCCCCCACGGCTCCTCCCTCGGCAGTCCCTGCCTGCCAGCCAGCCCCATCCCGCACAGACAGGACGGGCTGGGCTTGGTGGGCCCCCGTGAGCCCTTGTCCCCAGCTCCCAGGTGTTATCCCGGGATGTCACTGAAGCTCTGCTTCCCTGGGGTGGCATATCTGCTGAGGGTGGGCTGCGTGACCAGGCTCCCTCTTCCCAGCTTCCCCCAGCCTGGTGTCAATTGAAACCAGATTTTGGAGAGAAAAATTTAATTTTTAATCCCAGCCCCCCATTTTAAACTTTTGACCCCTTCTCAAAGAAATTCTCCCAAATCCTTCTTTTCCTGGAGACCAAAAAGAGCCAAAGTTATTTATTGCCATGTTAAGGGGACTGTTTACAGGTGCCCTCCCACCCTGCCCAGACCAAGAAGGACAGGACCATCTTGTACCTGTCACTGTCCCCATACTCGATTTCACTACATCCCCATCCCCACTCTGGTGGGATGGAGGCACACACAGGAACAACGGGTACTGTGACAGCCAGGGGAAGTGGGGAACTGTAGGGGCTGAAGGAAATGGTAGAAGTTGCATAGGGTTTGAAGGCGGTGTTGGCAGAGAAGGCGATTCTGAGAATGTCAGTGTCCCCACACCTTGGGGCCAGTGAGACCAGCACTGAAAACAAGGTTGCATTTGGGCTGCCAAGGCTCTAGCATGTTCCCATTCACGGAGCCCGTCACCCTTTCCCTTTCCCCAGGACACACTGTTAAAGCCAGCCCATCCCTGCTCCCTGGAGTACCTCCACACTGCAGGCTGCCCCTCCTGGAACATAGCCCCCCATTCCCAGGACACATCTCCCACCTTCGCTCCAGCAGCCACCACAACCTGCCTTCACCACACCGCTGTATACCCAGTTCTGAAATAAACTGCCGTTATTCTACCCAGGCTGGCTCTGATCTGTACCTGAGGTGGCCTGGGCACACATGCCACATGGTCACCTCCTGCTGCTGATACATGTCGCCAGGAGTCAGCCCTGCTCCATGCCAAGTGACTGTGTCTGCATCCGAGTGGGTCAGCCCTGTTCCATGCTGGGTTGAGAGCATCCCAGTCCCCAAGGGTCAGAGCCCTGCTCCATGCCTGGATTATGGCATCCTGGTCCCCAGGGGTCAAAGCCCTGCTCCATGCCTGGATTACGGCATCCTCATCACTGTGAGTCAGACCTGTTCTGTGCTGGGGTGATGGCATCCCAGTCCCCAAGGGTCACAGCCCTGCTCCGCCCCCTTTCTCAGCCAGAAATAACTTCTGTCCCGTGGCTGGACCTTGACATCTGGTCTAGAGCCCAGGACGGGTTGGGGCGAGCAGCAGGAGCCCAAGGGTGCCGTGAAGGGCCAGCAGAGGCCACCGAGTACTGGTGGCTGAAGCTTGCAGCTTGGCTTCGGCCTCATCCCCAGCCCAGCAGGAGAAGCATCTTCAGTTCCCAGCATCTGGGGTATCCCCTGGCCAGGTAGGGAAGGTGAGGGTCCACGTGTGGGCCAGCAGGTGGGTAGGTGCACAGGGCTTGGGGATATCCTTGGGGATGGAAAAGGGGACACCACCACTGTAGGGGTCAGGGTGTAGTCTCCCCAGAGCGGGGTAGAGGGAAGGATAGGGTGCAGATCCCTGGCTGGTTGTGTGGATGGTTAATGCTGAACTCAGAGCTGGCAGGGAGCTGTGTGCCAGGCATCCCAGCCCCATGGGAACCCCGGCACTGCAGGGCCGTTAGGAGAAGCTACCCAGCATCAGCCCGGGTTGAGGGATGCCAGATGCACCAAACAGAGCAGAACAGCACTTGTGGAGCCGAGTGTCCTGGCAGCACAGGAGGGTTCTGCTGCAGGTGGGCAGCTCAGGGGGCTCAGACTGGGGCTGGTTTCCAGCTGCCTCTCCACAATGGAGCAACCCACCCGAGTGGTCCCATGACCCTTCTTGCTGCTGGCTGGGCTCACCAGCTCCCTGCAGGTTCAGGGCTGCAGCTCCTGCACCCTCGGAGCCAGCAGCTGAAAATAGCTCTGCTAAGGCGGTGTTGGGGGGGTAGCCGGGCCCCTGCTTGGCCAGCAGCTGCTGCTCTGAGGGCGTTTGGGGCACAAGGACAGAGGCTCACTGTGGGCAAAGACAGAGGTGAGGACAGTTTCTGCCCTAAAGAAAGGCAGAGAGGAAGAAGGACAAGCAGGGGCTGAGAGGCAGCATGATTTGAGCATTCCCTATGTCTATTGAAGGGGACAGAGAGCAGTGCAAGGAGATGTTTAGGGATGATGCTGAACAGGGGAGATGCTCAGCTGAGTTCTACTGTCTCTCTGGGGCATGGCTATGTTTGGTGTCACTCCTGGAGTGCCTCTCTCTTCCAGCCAGACAGGATCCATCTGCCTCCAACAGAGCTGCCCCAGGAGCAAGGCAGCAAGTGATGGCCATCATGAGACCGGGCCCTGAAGATGGTAAGGAGATGCAGGTGTGTCACCAGCCCCAGTGCTGCCCTCCCTGCCTATGGACCAGACCCAGCTCTGGTTGAGACCACTTGCCCTGCTTTTGCTGGAACAGTCCATGCACAGGGTGGGAGAGGCTGCTTGAACCTCTGGAGCTCCCTGACAATTCCTCACACAGAGAAAATAGCAGTCCTTGGTGTGGGCAAATGGCCCAGCCACAAAACAGAGACCCCAACAAGGGGATACACGGTCTGTGCCTTGGGGGTCTCCAGCACTGCAGCATCCTCAGCTGTAGCTATGCTCTCCCAGCCTCCTCAGAGCCCCAGCTGGACCTGGGGAAGAAGATGAGCACAACACACGACCTGATGATCGAGGAGCTTTCCCTGCCGAACAACCGCGGCTCCCGGCTTTTCCAGCAACGCCAGAAGCGGGTGCAGCGCTTTGTCTTTGAGCATCCCAGTGGCTCCAGGCAGGTGGGTCTGAGGACAGCCCTCCCCTGGCTCTCGCAGCCTTTCCAGGGCATGAATTCCTGGTGGGATCAGTGGTCTTTTTGCAGGGTAGCCATGGTTGGCTGACTGCTATGCAGCAGTGGAGGGAGACGACAAATGTCCTGGTGGGCTGGGCATGGAGATGGGCAAACATGGGGCTCAATATCCACCAAAGTGGAAGGGGATGGTGCTGATCCCTCTCTGCACCCACTCATTGTCCCCTGCAGCTCCCAGGGCAAGGGGCAGGTGGCTCACACCACGCTGGGAAAGGTGATCCAGAAGGAACAGTGAATGAACAGATGGTGAGTAGATGGAGGAAGCTCTGAGGTGTTTTTAACCACGCCCGAGAACCAAGTGAGGCAGGGCGAGCTCCGCCTGTGCCTGTTAACTCTCCCCTCCACAGGCAGGGGAGAATGCTGGGGGCCAGGAGAATTATCACTCTGAGCTCCACGTAGCAGCATCACCCCAAGGTGGCCCCCCAGAAGTACCCAAGAAGTCAGAGAAGGTCTTGCACATGAGCAAAGTCCTGAACCCCAGTGCCCTGGCCCCAGGTAAGTCAATGCATCCTGCACCTGAACCCAACACTGCTGTGATGTCAGCAACATGGGACTGGAGGCAGTGAGCTGCTGCTTGTTGAGGGGTCTGCCCACCCTTCCCCTAGAGATTTTATATGTACAAATATATCTGTATATAGATATGTTATAGATATGCATTCCTGCCCCAGTAACAGGTCTTCCATGGCCATGCAGAGGCTGGGCTGTTCCCAGCCCCCTGCCTTAGCCTGGCTGTGGCCCCAGCAGCCCACACTGTCTCCCCTGCACAGGGTACTCAAGCCCCCTCAAAGAAATCCCCCACGAGAAGTTCAATGTCACCGCCATCCCCAAGGGTTACCGATCCCCATGGCAGGAGCTCTTTGGTGCCAGGGACGATTCCGTGCATGGCAAGAACCCGCCACCCATGAGACCCCCTGCGTGGGACTTCAGGAGCTTCAACAGGTAACAGGGGCAGACACCACCAGCCATGCCAGCCCTCGGCCAAGCCCTTCAGCCTCGAGGAGCACCCACCATCCTGCCAGGGAAACACAACCATTCATGCCGTCTTTACACCCCACAGGGGCACAGCAAGGGCTCAGGATGCTCTTTTCCTACTTAGGAGCTCCTCTGTGGCTCCCTGCAAAGGTTCCTGCCTCCAGCAGCTCTCCCCCAGGTCTCTCAGCTCCACTGTTTAGCTCACACAGCCTTAAGGAGCTTGATCTCACTGGGTAACCTCAGGGATGAAATTTGGGAGGACCAATTCTTACACACATAGTCCTGGAGAAGGAATCACTCCTGTTCCCAGCTGGGCTCAGCTCTCAGTTGGGTGGAGGAATGACACAGTGCCAAGTCTCTTTCCTAATTTCCTTAAGGTATTAAAGCAGCTGCTGGAAGCAGTGGGGGCATAAGGTTAATCTTCCCACAGAGTGCTAAGAGGTCACCAGATTCTTTCCAAACACCTGCTCAAGCCCAAAGCCTCCAGGCCAGGGGCTTTCTGGTGGCTCAGTCTGGCAAACTCCGTGCCCTGTGGCTGCTTCTGATGGAGCACAGCTGGTGCCTCCTCACACCTCCAAATCACATTGGGATCAAGGGTGGGACCCTGGAGCAAAGACTGTCCAGACAGATCTCCTTTCTGGAAAGGTGCTTGGTGGGGATTCAGGAGATGGAGATCTGGTGGTAGCAAAGCACTAGCAGAATAATGAGAACTGAACTTTTATGCTGAACATCATCCCAGGGAATCAGCAAAAGGAGTCCTGTCTGTCCTTCCTGAAAGCTTCTGTCACCAGGATGGAATGATATTGGCTTTAGTGGCCTGGCCAAAGTCACATTCCAGCAGGCAAGTTCCTACTGGAGTTTCCCCCCAGGACACAGCACTGCTCCCCAGCAGACCATGTGCCAACAGCAGCTCCCCTGTGCCCACCCCAGGGCTGGATTTGGGCATGGGTACATGATTGCTGTGCTTTCAGCACTTGGCAGAGCAGACCACAACCCCTCCTTGTGGGAAAAGCCATCCTAAATGGCAGAGCTGAGCCTGGCCACCGCTGTCCCTTTGCTGCTCTCCTCCCCTGCGGCCCTGGGGCTTTGCCATGTGGCTCTCCTTGAGGAGTTAGAGCCAAGGAGTTGCTGCAGGGGGAGAACAAGGGGCTGCTGCAGACACTTGGCTCTTTTCTTTCAACATTTAGCCATGTTCCTGCCTCATTTATTTATGGACAGGGACTGAAGCAAGGGCATGTTTCTGAATAATACTCTACCCTGTACCATTTCTCCTCTCTCACATACTGCCTTTCTATTTAAAGTCTTCAGCTGTAATTTAATACAGATGGATGCTAATTTAACTCCAAGCCTCTTGCCACCTCCTCTAATTCTTCAGTGAGGCAGAAAGATTCAGAAGGCCAATCTGCTTTTAACTGGGCTTTTCACAATCTTCCAAGCTTTTAAATCACTTCTCAGTTCAAATACCAAACCACAGAAAAAGAAATTTTTGGAACTAACTGGCTATTGAAAAGCCAGTGGTCTTGCCTAAGGCTAGCTGAATCCAAACACAGCTTTCATGGTCATAGAGCAAGGGCAAGTCCACCATTTCCACAGCAACTTCATTAAAGTAGGCTGATTTATCCCCAGTTTTAAACATTCAGATTGTGATGCAAAAACCTGGGCCACCTTGCTAAGGTGTGCTGCCTTAAGAGAGAGTGAAAACCAAGCTTTGACAGACTCCCTTTTCCCAAAAGACAGTTCCTAGAACAAACCTCTCATTTGCCTTTCCCCCTCTTATTTCTTCTGTTGCAAAACAGTGCCACGTTATTCATGTTCTAGCAGTGCTTCCCAAAGCAAACATTCCCAGTTTTGCCTCACTGATAGCTCAGCCCCCATGTGCTGCTCCAAAACCAACATTCTTGGCTTTTTGGGGGCTGGCACACTCTTCCCCAGTCCCTTTCCACATTTCTCCAGAAAGAGATGACAGCTCTTGCCCCCACACTGCTCCTCCTGCTAGTCATTGTTCATGAGGAGCCGTCCCAAAAGGCGGGATGGAGCCAGGGGCAATAGATCTGCACGTGCTAATGATCCAGAGCAGCGCCGCCAGCCTCAGCCCTCTGCAGGACACAGGAGCTGCACATGAGGCACTCTCAAGACCAGGGGTTTGTCACTGTCACTGGTCTGTGAATCGAAGCCCTTCCACGTGCAGAACACTTCCCCCCCCAGGTACCAAACCCCACTTCCCAGGCTTGCCAAAGCTTGAGTTGAGGTGGGCTCTGTACCAGAGAACCACTTCACTTGGCTGGCAGGGCTCTAACAGTGTCCTGGCGAGGAAGAGGAGGGTTGTCATTTCTAACAGGCATTGCTACATTGTGCTGGACTCAATAAATCCAGACTTATTTTTTCTAACATCTTTACAACGTGCCCAGCCTCTCAAGTGACTGCTTCTTTTTGTGCTGCAGGACACCAGCCCCGTTTGACAGGGCGTTGGTTGGTGAGCTGTTCTCTTTGCCCACCGTAGAGCTGGATAACCTGAGTGTGCTGGAGGTGATTTCCCACAGGCCCAACTTCAACCGGGTGGCCCAAGGCTGGGTGCGGATCCTGCCGGAGAGCGAAGAGCTGTAGGATGTGCGCTCCCTTCCCCATGGCCACGGATGGTTCCCTCACTGGACTCGGACACACTCACAGGGGAGGGGTGGGGGGGGCAGGTATCCTTCGTGAAAGCTCAGCTGGTGGGCTCGGGTTGTCATCTTTGAATGAGGTTTGAATGAGCTCGAGTGTGGGACCATTCTGAATTCCCCTTGCAGTCAGTGCCAAGCCAACAGCCAAGTCCTCGCTGTTAATCCAGCAGATCCCGCAAGCTCCCGTACAAAACATCCCGTACCGCCTGTCCTCTTCCCTGCCTCATGGAAAACAGCAGCACCACCAGCTGCAACACACCAAGCTGCCTCACTGCATCCTCACTGACGCGAGACCTGCTCGGACAGCTGGTGCTTTTGCAGAGAAATTCCATCTTCAGGACAAGCCTGCATCTGTCGTTCCAGTCAGTACACAGAGAGGAGGGGAAAATGGAAGAGCAGTAGCAAAACAAGTTACTTGAAGCATTGGCATGTTTAAAGCAGCTACCCTGAGCTTGGCTGGACAACACAAACAAATGAAGGAGTGGGAATTACTTGTTTACCAACACAGCACAGCCATGATTGAGGGGAGCTGGAAGTTGGAAACTTGTGCCGTTTTCCACAAGCTACTGGCAAACACTTGGCAGCTATTTTCCCCTTCCTATTGCTCTTTGCATGTCTTGCTTGAACATCTAATCTAGGCTCTTTGAGTGACAGATTTGCTTCATATCAAAAGGATCATGTCAAGGATCAGCCCCTGCCTGGACCCGCTGCCCTGCAGAACCACACCAGTGTGAGGATGCTGCCAGGGTGTTCTGGTAACTTCAACACCAGTGGGAAGGTAAAGCAGCATGGCTGTGCCTCCAGAGCAAGCACAGGCTTCCCTGGGAATGTGAAAATCAGCAGTGAGGATTCAACTACACCAATATTTTCAGCAGTGACACCCACTGGGACATGCAGCTAACAACAGCCTACAGTTACCAGAACATCTGGAGAATCCCACTCACAAAAAAACCTCTGACTCAACACAGGCTTCCTTCAATTGCTTTTGTCAAGTTCTTAATGTTACCCTTTCTTATACTCCCAAAAGCACAAGGATAAAAGTTCCTTTTTCCATCACTGTGGTTAAATGGGGCAAGTAAATGTTGTGGTAAAAATGCAGTTAGCAGCTGCCTCATTTGTGAAGTTTATAACACTGTGCAGAGCAAACCCCATGCAGGGATTCTGCTGCCACAACATATACAGGTGGGAAGCTTTCATTACTCTGTTTCCCACAGAAGCAGGAGGGGGCAAGCAAAGGGAAAGAAAAATGGTATGTTCTGTAGAAACAATAAATCTATGATGCTTAACTGCTGCCCTGTTCCATTTCCCTCCTCTTTGTCCATCATCTGCAAAACCTAGGCATCCTGGGTAACTGGCTGGAAATAATAAATTGGGATGATGTGAAGCCTCCTGCATTCCAAACGTGTCACAGCACTCACAGGTCCTGGCTATGGACGTTTTGGGCCAGTGCAGTGGCAAATGCAACAGCCCTCTCCCATCCACCAGCAGCCTCTGCCATCCAACACCACCCTGGGACAGCTCTCCCCTGACAGAAGCCAAACTAATTACTCACACCCAAAGCCCAGCTCTTTCTTCAGAGAAAGCCAGCCCATGGTGCCACAAGTGCTACACCTCCTCTGACAGGCTGGCAGGGCTGGCACCATGATAGGATCCAGTGGCACTGTACAGGACAGTACACGAAATTAAAAGTGGATGTGCCTGTCCTTGCCCATGTAGGATCTTGGCTGTGGCAGCACTCACATAAAAATCAGACCAAGTCCTCAGATACTGCACTCCAGGAAGCTGGGTCAAAGCACGGTGTTGAAAAATTCAAATATTTTTATGTACTTTTTAAAAAACAAGCAAATGAAGCTTCAGAAGAGGCCCTATCCTGTTATGAAGACATCCACAGATACATTGCATGAAAGTTAATATCGAGATAAAACTAAAATCCTCCAGCTCAGACCTCACTCAGCTGCAGACTCCAGGCAGGATGCAGTTGGTCTGAGGCCACTACTACAAAAGAAAAGTTTCCCATCTTATCAAAGCAAGATGAAGTAGGACCCGTATCACAGCTTAAGAGAATGCTGTTTCACAGGCCTTGAGAGCCCCAAATCTCCCCAAGAGCAGTTGCAAATGTATCCTGCCCTGCCCTGCAGCTGCAGGCAGCACAAGCCCAGGCTCTGAGGCTGAGGGGCTGCACCTGGTTAAATCAGCAACTGCTGACCTGTCACTCCACATCATGCCCACACTGCCTGGGGGCTGCTCACTTGACCCAGAACTTGTCTTGCTCAGGGTGTGCAGGATTAAAAGTGATGCATTTAAAAAGGCTTTTGTTTTCTTGTCTTTTTAAAATCAAGAAGTCAGGAAAAAGGAGGGAGGAAAATTCTGTGTAGTGGTAAGGCCAAGCCATGGGTTTGGCAAGTCTGACAAACTCGTTTTTCAGCTCTTACTCAGTCCTGGTTTAATACCTCATTAGAATAATACATCATTAGTTATCTGACAGAGAAGAGTCTCTGGTTACATTTTAACAGTCCATAACATTCCAACTGAGGATTATCGAAAGGGCTTGAAAAGGGTTTGGTTTTGTTTTTCCAGAAGTTTATTTCAAAAGTGTGCCAATGAGATACACAGATAGCACTGTAATTCTGGTACCCTAGACCCACAGACCCCCAACAGCCCTTCTGTCTGTCCCCCACCCACCCCCCACACTAATAGAAAGACCTGGGACGTATCAAGAACCCGATTATAAGTGGAGACATGGAGCTCAGCTTGCCCTGTGGCTGCAAGCAGCGAAATAAGGCGTCTCTAGCTCACCCACAGCTCAACATATGGTGCTACCATGGTAACTAGAAAATAACAGTTACTTCAAGGATGAGGGTGGCAGGACGTGCTAGGGGCTGCTGTGCTTTCCTGCGTGGGCACCCATCCTCTGGGGATCCTGGGACGGGTAATGGATGGGGCCTGGGGCTCTCATGAAGGGTGGTGGGGGCCCCATGGCGTGGAACATGTGTGGTCCAAAACCTGCAGAAACAAAAGTTGGCAGCTTCAGGCAAAGCAGCAGAAAACCTGATGTGTATGTTCTGCTGCTTCAAAGTACTGACACGACAGCTGGCTGACAGCTGTGCCTCACAAATGTGCACATCTCCCATCTCCCCAAACTCCTGCCCCTCTTTTCAGTACAACTAGTACAATCCCTACCCAACACACATCCTTACAAATAAAAGCTGGTGGAGGGATCAGGCAAGTGTCTGTAATACCCATCGAAATGTTTTCTACTCAACCACAGGGGAGAGCAAATACATCTACAAGAGTCCAAATTTCCATTAAAAAACAAAAGGATCTCTGGATAGACATATAGAGAGCCAAGGACATGCTGGCATTCAACCAGCTGCAAAATTACCCTTTGAAGTTCGGGTTACTTGTGGCATTTACACAGCCAGCAAAAGCACTGAGTAGGTCTCAGTACCAGTAACGGATCTCCAACATGCCTGGGAATTTGCAAGCAAATATCAACCACAACAGGCAGCTCAGTTTAATTAAACTGTGCTGACAGCTCAGTTTAGATCATCCGTGTACACTGTGTGATCAGGGATGAGGAAAATCAGCTCAGGGCATGCATCAGTGCTGCAGCATGGCCTGGCAAGGAGGAAGAGACCATCTAACACTGAATTTCACACCCCCATCTGAGAGGGAAACACAGGTACCTGGAGGCGGGGGTGGAGCAATGCCAGGAGGAGGTGGCAGGGCAATGTTCACCACAGCTGAAGGGCCACTTGGAGGTAGATTGAAGTAATTTGCAGAAGCCTCCTCTTCTGCAGCTGGAGGAGGGGGGAGGGCTGCAGAAAAAGTACATATGGTTATGGAAAATCTCTCAGGCAAGACAAGCAGAGGTGTCTGCCTTCAGAGATGGAACATAACCCATACTATGACAAGGGGAAACTGTTGCTACTATTGCATGTATGAACTGGACTGAGAGCAGAACTGCCCTGAAACCCCAACCACCAATTTCCTTCATCTGAGACCGGCTTTGTTTTGTCCATCACACAACACTCAGTGGACCACGAAAACATTAAAAGCATGGGTTGCCAGTATCTCTGACCTAAGTTAGTAGAATTCAGCTTTAAGTTTTCACTCATCACATAAAGAACTCTCTTTTCATCAAGGATTTGCTCCTAGGTAAAGCTCATCTCCCATCCAGCTGGATCTGCTGCAAACCTACTATGACTGCTCTGGGCTCACCACTGCCTCTACCATCCTGAACTGTCACTGCTCCCAGAAGTTTAACAGCAGCCTCGCTCATGAAGTGGGTCAGCATTAAGTGTTTCAGAGATGAATACAACTCCCTTACCTCCAGGAAGTCCTGGAACTGGCTCCAGCTTTATCCCTGATTCTGTAGTGCCTTCCTTGTCCTTTTCTTTTCCTCTTGCTGCCTGGGACCTGAAAAACAGACAGAAGTTTGAGAACAAGGATAAGAAAAGCAAGATAAGGAGATATTTACACCACAGTGGCTTCACATAATCTATTCCAGATCCATTTCTTCAGGCCAAAGATGAAAAACTCAGAGAACATCAGACAGATGATACCAGGTTTGCAAACAGCGTTTAGAGGAGATGGACTAGGAGCAAATCCACTGAAACTCATCCATAATGCTCAACCAAGAAATCCCTTATGCTACTTGTGTCACCACTGGTAAAAAGAAAACCAAATGCAAGAGACCCCAACTATTTACCAAACAAGTATCTACATCTGCATAATACCCAATTCTGCTGATTAAGACTGTAAACTGAGAGAAGAACCTTGTAGATCCTCCAGGCTTCCTCCCCCCACATTTACCTTCCCCATTTGACATTGAGCCTGCGGCCATTGACAATGAGTTTGTTGAAGGATTTCTCAGCAGCCACCTCTGCAGCCTGTCTGGTGGCAAACTGGATGAAAGCACATTGCTGCCTCTGCACCACCGTTATCGTCCGGATCTCCCCAAACTGGTAGAAGTGATTTCTGTATGGGACAAAA